TGGCGGCGGGTGTCACGTACGTACATGCCATGGCTGTTGTGGACCAAACGCCGGGGGCATCATGCCATGCCCATTCCCGCGCTACTGGCTTGTCGGAAGGAGGTTGTTTTTCTCCACTAGTAGCGGCTTCATTTATATGGTAAAGATTTTAGGCAATGGCACCTAAAGTGAAGGTAAACCTTCAAAATTTTAATATTTTTATAAATTATAGTAAAATGAAAGCTTTTAGGTGCTATATGTCGCTCACAAACTACCGATCGAGCCAGGCGCAAACAGGGGAAATTGCCAGTGCGCACCAACAAGCCGGTGCATACGTAAACTTGACAACATTTTTACCTGTCGCTGATGGGTTAAACACCTATAAATATAAAACAAACATTGAAACAAATATCTTTAACTTACCACATGTCACACGGCACACAAAAATTGCTAAGTCCTTACACATCAAGAGCTTACCGGAAAGTGTTCAAGTAATGAACATTTTTTTTTTTTTTTCCCGACATGGGAGGCAATTAAGGTAAAGAGGCAGTAACATTGTTACATTGTTAACAGTGAATCTATGTAATGATAACGGAATTATAAATCATAAAATATATACATTACAAAGAACAATACTTAAAATGTATAAGCATAAAAGAAAGAGAGGAAATATTAGTAGAAATAGGATTAGATAATGGATTAAAATATTAGTAATCGGTACTGCTTCCACGTTGGTTGAAAGTAGTGCAAAGAAAATGTGACATTAGAGAAAACGCAGGTATAGAAAATGGAAATACAGAAAACTAGACACGTATAGAAAACGAGTTTATAGAAAATGCAGACATAAACAAACGACGAAGGTCGATTTCTACTTCGTCTCTAGCCGTTTTTTTCCATTTAACGGTAAATATAAGTCCGGCGCAACTTATACTATGTTCCATCCCACTCTATTTTTTCCGCTCTATAACATGGCGGTGTCCATTTCTCTCTATTTACGCTCGTCCGTCTCGGTAACCTCTACCAGTACATGTATTGCTGCGCAATTGTCAAATTGATATTTTGCTAATCATCAGTGTCTGCCGTTCCATATTTATGCTTTCCAAGACCTTTATTAATGTGTTTTATACCTCATTTGCGTGTTTTATGATTGATTGTACAGTTTTTAATGGGAGTCGGTCTGAAGGACCTTCTGTGCATGCGTATTTTTGCGTTTCCAGCTGCCAGTTTTGACAGAAGGATTCATGGGTAGTCGGTGACAGAGAGCCAGTAAGAAATGTTTTGTTTTAGGTGTTGCATCGATTCTAGGATATTCTTAAGACTATACAGTGGCAACGAAGAAGAAAAAGACCTTATAACTATCGCAGTTCGATTTCTGAGGCCATCAAGTACCCCAAATCCCGAAAAAAGCGATAAAAATGAAGCGATCCACGATCCACGACCGACCAAAGAAGCAAAGGAAAATTGACAGTTTGGTCTTTCGATATATAAAGGTATTTGGTTTATTGTTTACAATGTGGATGTAGCTCTATCTTGCCGTACATACCAAGGTGAAGAGAATGTGTCCCGGGGGGTGTTGGGGGGCTTGCCCCCATCAACCCTCCCCTCGGCAGTGCCCGAAGGGCACGCCTAGTCACGGCACCGTAAATTGCTAGGTTAGGTTGGGTTGTGGGTTAGGACTTTTTTGGTGCTTGAAAGGTGTGAAATCCTGTAGATTTTGCCCAAATATGTGTTGTATTCCTGTAGAGTTTTTTCGAATTTTGGTGTGTCGGTGCGTAGACTTTCAAGATGGGGCATGTCCGTAGAGTTTCATTGGCCGATTTTTAGCGATTTTAGGCTAGTTTTTGTGTTTTTGTTCGCTATTCTTATTTAAGCCTGTTTTACCCCATAATTTCCCTGATATACTTCATGCCCTCCCCTACTAACGGGACTAACAAATTAAGATTGTCGATGGAAGTGGTACTCAGATCTCATCAACGAAGCATTTGCACAAGAAACAACATCAAGAATCGTTGAAATCAGTGGATTTCATGCAGATAAATATCAAAATTAGTTCGAAAGTAAGCCCCTACCCTGTTATGCATATTGACCTGTGATTGATATTACTGTATACGAACTATAGTTTCATTAGAAATATACAGTACATCCATGCCTGCACATCACTGCCCTCTCCCGGCAAAGCACTTCTGACAGCCCAAGTTTCAGCTCCCTCTTGCTGTACATACTTAGGTGAAGACAATGTGTCCTACATAAAGATTTAGTCATATTCATAATCAGTGTTACAGGAAAGATTGTGTCAAACCCAAATATTGGAATGTCAGATTTCATTTACAATTGTCGGTCATCTTTATGTTGTGGATTTACTAAATTAGGACAAATTGATTATGATATTCTTGTTGAGGAGCTAAAGATACAGTCATTGGTAGAAGAAATAATCTGCAGACATGAACAGTTATGCCACAGATGAAAGTAGGAGTCCTCATAGTGCCCGAGTTCAAGCTCAATCTTACCATGAGTACAGAGATGAAGATGATGTTTCCCAGGGGGTGTTAGGGGACTCAACACTCTAGAGTACTGCCCAAAGGGCATGCCCGGTCATGGTAACTTAGATTGGTGGATAAATTTTGGTTGTGGGGATTTTGTCTCTGGTGAGTGTGTCCATACTGTAAGGAATTACCCAACTGTCATATTTACAATTGCTTTCAAGATCTTTAAATATCAGGGAAAGTTCAAGGTTACTAGCATTAGCAAATTCTACTTTTCATTATTAAGAAATTAGCAAGGATTGTATATTCATTATTATCAGACTCATTACAACTCTCTTGTGTGTGTTTTTTTACCCATTTGCCACCAGCTACATTTAAAAATGCAAGTTGAGTTTAAATCAAGGTTTAGGTGACTGCTCCTGGCAAGTGACAAAATGCTGACAAAGTTCTAAAACTGGAACACAGTTATTGTATTTCATCGAGTTTAGTGTTATCCTCAATATTATAATGATTTCAGTAAGAGGTTGTTTTCACTGAAAAGTTTGAAAATTCAGTAACACAAGTAGCACTGTCAATTAATTTCATCTTTGGAATGAGCAATGAAGACTGTGACAATAGAATGGTCAAATTTATCAGGAGGGGGCTGCCTATGCACAAGTACGGTTGTAATATGTATGTTTAATGAAAATATGGTACATATTTAACCCAGGAACGACGGGTGTCCCACATATGAGACACCCGAAAAAATAAACATTGCTGGATGTCCTTGTCAGTATGACGCTGTATTGGGGCTAGTGCTCCAACACAGTAGCGGGCCGTGGCCAGGGCAGCCCCGCGTTCCGATTTTGTAGCCGCCCGGAATCTTGTATTTTCGGCTTCAAAATATATTGGAGATAATGGGTTAATAAAAAAGATCACATTCTACATTTAAGGATTGAATATTTATCCCACTAGCAATGGTACATTTTCAGGCCAAAAATAATGTTTTCCGGACAACTTCAAAATCTGCGCATGTGCGAGTCAGGAAACCTGCACACCCGCTGCCCACCACAGGTGATTTTGTTGGGATGTCCAGTAATCTTTATTTCTCCGGGTGTCTCATATGTGTGACACCCATCATAAGTGGGTTAATAAATTTGTCTTTCCATATAATGCCATATAGATTAGAATACAGAAATGCATTAATAGTACAGTGAATTTTTAAGAAATTGGCCATGATGTCAAGTTACATCAAGACAGTTTAGGTTGGGTTCTGTGAAGCTGTTCGCTGCGAGGGGACGAGGGCAGGACTGAGTTGGTGGAGGCATGTAGTCTGTGTGGTGCTCAGCATCCCATATTTTTACATTTAACTCGAATAGGTTGGCTTCCATAGGTTAATTATCTTAGTAATGAATGTAGTTTTTCATTGACTATAATGTTATAATCATTAATTTTCTCCTAGTCGATGCTGTCCCTTTATATACCATGACACATGATTTGTAAGGCTGGATAGATGGCAAAATTCACTACAGGTAGATAATAGCAAACTTAAAATCAACCCAAAGCACACATGAAGGGTTGAGAATGAGAGGCAAACTCTGCACCTTAACAAAAATGCGATTCTTGCATCCCCATTTTCTATGAAATCTGTTCATATCTTATGGCAAGAAATGGTGTGGTTAGTTTGCATATCAGTAGTGCTAGTTGCCCTCCAGTATGATTGGGGACCCCATGGAGTGATTAAACACCACAAAACTAATTTATATAAAGAAAAGTGAAGAGGGAGTGGTTCTGGGAAAGCCTGCCCTACAAGCACTTTTGTTCATTATGCTGGTAGTCTCTGGTGAATGCCTGTACTATAAAGAATTCCTAAAAATTATACTTACTGACACATGGAATGGGTCACAAATACAAAGCAGTAGTCCATGGTGATTGGGTAGAAGTTCAGGGCAAAGCCTTTTGGTCAAGGAGGAGTGCCCCAAGAGTAAGATTTTGCTAGAGTAGCAAGGAATTTGTGTCTGAGGGTTGCAGGCACTTCATGAACAGTTTCCAATACTTTTACTTGTTTCCTATAATCAGTAACATCTTGTAAACAGTGCTATCTCTATTTCTCTTATATTTCACACTTATTATTGTAGCCAAGTTTGTGGGGTGAAGACGGTCACCTTGCATTAATTGTTATAAGGCTGGCTTTATAAATAAAAGCAGCCTTTTATTGAAAACTTTATGTATTTCTCTTTCATTCTTATACTTGAGACTAGATGGTGTGCCATAATGATAGTCAACTTGGTTTCATAGTGTTTCCCAGGGCACAAGATGTATATTGAATTTTTCTGGGTATTGAAAAGGGTACTTAGCATGATGAACAGTAGGTATAAAAAGAAAAAAATGTTTTAGTAAGGTTATTGTGTTAATGTATGATACAGAGCTCAGCTTTGCAATTTGCTAATTTTAAAAGTAATTTGCCAAAGATAAGCAAAATGTCTGGTTATGTTTTTACCTCCATGATAATGAAACGCTGTTACATGCAAATTAAATTTATCTTTATTTTGCTTTTCCAGGTTTCTGATTGACTGGTGCAACCTATCAAGATCGCCGCTATGCCAGTAAGAGTCTTTCTCTCAATTTGCATACCAAAATGTTTTTATTTGCATAGATAGTTGTATATATTTTAGATATTGATAGTGAAAATAGATGATAGATTTTATGATGAATATCAATAGATAGGAAGATGTACCTTCTTCACAAGTAGATAGGGGAATAAGTAGAAACTAGATCAGAGATGAAGTATATTTGTGTATTTATGTACAGTATACAATAGAGTGGATTTTTTTACTTCCTTTTCTTCTACAACTGGAGAAAATTTGCATTAGCTGGAGAAAGATTTCATGCTCTATATTGGCTTACAGTATGGATTTCTCATCTAAGTTTCATCCATTTAAAAGTTTGTCAAAAAGAGTAAGATTTTGAAATCTCTGGATAAAAATACCAGATATCAACCATCAATTTTCATGTCTCATGAAATCTGTTGAATATTGTATGGTAGAATTTTTGACAGTTGCAAGAGCCTCCATTCCTTGATAAGCACTGACAAGAAATATTTTGTTTATAGTGTTGCATTAATTCTGGGTCATTTTTTTAAACAATGTAGTGTCAGTGCTGAATAAATAGACATTAGTAACCATCACAATTTGAATTTTGAGCCATCAAGTGTCCCAAATCTTGAAAAAAAATTAATTAAATCTCACGCAATCGATGGAACTGAAGAAATTTGGTGTTTTACTTTATAAAGTTATGTAGTTCTCTGTGAGCAAAATTATATGTAGAAGGAAAGGCAATATTTTGTAATACATACCAAGAAAGTGTTTGTTTGCTGCTGCAAAATTGTATCTCCTAACATGCATTTGGTTATTTATTATGGGGGTTTTGGTTCTGCCCCTGGCTAGGCTATTGGATTGGTTGTATGGTTAGGATGTATTGCATAATGACCATGGGGATCCTGGGCATTTTTATGCCTGTAGAGTTTTTTAAATTGGCTTGCTGGCCCATAGACTTTCAGAAATTGGCCATGATTCCTATATAAATAAAAATGGACATAGACCCCAAGATCTTGATGAGGTGACCATCAATTCATGAAAAAAAATTGACTTGAGGGGTGGATGAAATAGCCTGCTGTTGTAGGAAAATATGGGCTGAGGGCTGGGGTGACAGGAACTTGCTTTCATGAGAATCTTGGCTAAAGTCTGGGGTGCCAGGAATGACTTGCCATGAGTGCGCAAAGCTCTTGGATGGTAATTAACTCATTAAGCATTTAGAAAGGGGCTTTTGCATTATTTCCATCAATAAACAAGTGTGGGATGTACCATCCATGAGCATGACTGGAATAGTGCCAACTCCAGGGAGGACAATATTTCCATACTCAGGATCTTATTCCTGCCCATGGCGATGCAGGTTGTATAACAAAAATGAATGTTATAAAAATTAAAAATAATAAAATGCCACATTACCTAGACTGATGATGCAGAGTCTTTGCAAGGGAAAGTCTGTTACCAGCTGGATAAATCAAATCAAATGACTAATATAGAAATTGGAAAATGGCACAAAAGCTAAAAACACTTATACAGAGAAAGAGAAAATGATATTACAAAGGGAAAACTTGTAGTCTTGTCATTGTTCGTGAGTATTCGCTTGCGCCCGGCCTACAAGCCACACTCCCATCAGTGCAGTCACTCAAGTAAGCCTAATGCCTATCCAGATTCAAGGGGTTAAGAATGTTATGCTATACCCCTAGCTATGATAACTTGGAAAAAACATTGTAACTGTGTCCTATATTTGTAGCCATAAATATTCTAAGTGCAAATGTGTTACCATCCCAGTGATGAAGTACACATATAGATAAGATTAGAAGTGGCTTAGAGGTTAGTATGTATTTGGAATTGGACTTCAGTCTAGCCTTTAGTACTCAAAAGAATTTTTCAAATGATAGAGAAGTTTAGGGGATTTGTTCATGAAGAATTGCATGAAATACCTTGGAAATGTGAAGTACAATAAAGGTTCTGTGATTGTTTAGATTTGGCAGACAGGTAGGCCAAGACTGGTAGACAGGTGACCTCACTCGTTCTAATTGGACTAGTCCATGGCTTGCATCTGCTATCTCACAGAATCATATTGGAATAAGATTAGGCATGGTAGGAGAGTGATATGCAGTTCTTTGTCAGCCAACCTGAGTCACATGTGGTAAGGAGTATTAGTGTGGTTGATTCTAGAGAGAAAGTGTGGCTGTCTGGTCCAAATCTGGGGGCTGAGGGGAGCCAGCAATAACATGAACAAGAGCGCCTTTTTCTCGGGTATTTACGGGCTTTCCATGGTGCAATTAGAAACTATTGTCTGTAATTTTCTTAACCCATTACTGCCGGTATATTTTGAAGCCGAAAATAAAAGTTTCCGGACGGCTATAAAATCGCCGCGCAGGGTTGTCCGCGATCCGCTGCTGCATCGAAGTGTGAGCCCTGTTACAGTGTCACACTGGTTGGACACCCAGCAATTTTTTTTCTTTTTCCCGGGTGTCTCATATGTGGGACACCCATCATTACTGGGTTAATTATCAAAAATTTATTTTTATTGCCAAAAACAAATAAACAAGGAATGGCTAATTCAAAACTGAGGATCTACACTGGCATTGACTGCCCATCAGACTAGCATTAATAATTTTGAATCGGTAAATTGGTTTCTGTGTTTATTTTAAAAATGTACGCCATAGAACACAAAATTACTTACTAAGTCCTTGCACTCCATGTTGCTCAAATGAGAAGTACTATGAACTTTGGGTTTTAAGTGAGAGGCAGTTCCTTTCCACAGTTGAAACACTACATCTGGCTGGGCACTCAAGACACAAGTCAGGTCCTAGACAAAGATAAGCCAAGTTGAACAGTGCCTCAAGGTATTAGAGGAACATTTATGGAGGCCATTGCCTTCATCTATTTGCCTTCTGCTTATGAATGAGCTGCCATTGTTTCATATAAGATTCCTGCATAGGGGCATGGTCATCTGATAATTTTTGGGTGCTGTTGATAAAGATTTAGTGGAAATACTTGCTCTTCATTTACACCCAAAGTTTTCTATTATCAAGTGTTAAATGCATGCATAACCCACCAAACACTCTGACTTAACATAATTTTTATTTCAAGGCCTTAGTTGGCTGCTAGTATTTCTCAGCCATGCCTGAGTCCTGTGAGGGCAACAACCACATTTACCCACAAACTTTGTTAGAAAAACTGTGAGCTTGATTTCTTATATAAGATATTAGGAATTTACAATATTGCACTGTACGTGTTAGACAATCAAACTAATTATTCATATCTTTTGTACATGGCAATAAAGTTCACTGTATAAAAGTTAAATCCAGATCTTCTGTACTTACAACAAAGATGCAAGACACACCTGCCAGATGCAGGTGTCTCTTTATCAGTAAGTGTGATTATTAGTAAATTTGCTGTTTTACATGAAAGGGTTGGTATTTGTTTTAGGATGATTAGCAGTCTCCTACTATAATTGTCATATTACACAGTAATGGTGATAACAAGACATTTGCCACAGAAAAAAGAATAGAAATGTACAAATATATGATAGCATAAAGATATGTGTCAGTACAAATAGGGTATATAAATGGCTTCAAAGAATTTACAGCTAAATTCATTCAAGGTATCTATAGGTAATATTCTTGGCAGAAATATTGCGTATATATACATATGATGTAATATCAGAAAATCCAGAAGCGTAAAATCAGGCAAAAAACAGTCTTGGAATGATATACAGGCATGGCAAGACTAGATGCTTACTGGCGAGATTGGATGCTACCTGCTAATTTCTGCTTACAGCTGTTACACGTACATGCCTTTTTCTTTTTGTGTGACAAATTCAGCTGTCAGCAACACATTCAGAATATAAACACACAAAGTGATTGTGAAAAGAATATAAAAGTGAAATATATTACCATCCATGAAAATGAACTATTTGACTTCTGAAGTGTTTGTCTTACTCGTTCCAAGAGGAAACCTTTAATGGAAGGTGCTTGGAGGGAAATCCAGTTTCTGGCTTGATGTTTTTAGTGATGTTGTCATTACTCTTTGGCAAAAAAAAAAAAAAAGGAGCCACCCAAATGTTCAAGTGCCTCAGGAATTTCCTATACCCTTTATGTTCTAGTGACGTTTACTCACTCTCCTGTTTGTGTAATGAGGTGTGCTATTTTAATGTTTATTAGTACAGTATAAGAAATTATTTATTCATACTTAGTTACACAAAGTTACTGCTGCTTCCTATTGACGAAAGTAATGTATATAAAACATTTGCGCAAAGTTACACTATGTTAGCAACATCTTCTGTCTTTGCTTCTTTTCTCTTCTCTTCTTTTCCTTTGCATAAATTATATAGGAACTCTACTCTGGTATACTTCTTTGAATGAAAAAGATGAAGAAATCCATGGATATACTGATAGGAAGAGAAAGAAAAATGGAAAAAATTGTATAGAATGAATAGTATAGAAAAGTATTAGGTTAGAAAAGTATCCCATAGGAAGCATGATGTCTTCAGATTTATTGCATATTGTTAGCATGAAAAAGTATGGAATAATAGTGTTTCTTTCCCTCTCTTACAGTCAAGTATCAGTCAACCTTTGGTAGCATGCAGCAATATGCATATTACCATGAGGAAGATGAGTCAACCTTCCAGCACGTGTTCAAGACAAACGTGCCCAAACCTCTTTACCAGCGTGGTAGATACATGCGCAATCAGCGTAACATGAAAAACCAGAGGAACCAGAAGGGCCCCCAGATGCAAGTTCTTGGCAAGGGAAACAAAAGAGAGTTAGTACGAAAGTTGGTATTTAAAATTGGCCTTTAACTAGTTTGACATTATATGAAATATATCATGAATACCCTTTGCCTGATGATATAATAGGTTTTGTTTCAAAATAAGTCAAGGGGAAAAACCCTGAAGTGCAGACACATTTCTAATCTGGAATTCAATCCTTTATTAAGGAAAAATTTCAGTTTTGGTTTCCA